GATAGCTGCATTGCGGCGTACTTCTGCTCGCACCTTCAGCCGTGACGTTCGGTAGCCAACGTAGTCCATCCGTCCAATCGTAACTTGACCATGATGTAGCTGAAAGACGCCGTGCGCAGCGATCTTTCTGGATCTCTTCCGATTCTGCGCAACCAGCGCTCTCTTGTCGAAACAGAGGCTTCGAGGGGTAGGCATCGAAGAGCCTGTCGGACGATATCGGTTCCGGCCGTGCGGAGGGGGGGGGGGGGGGTTTTTTGTGGGGGGGGGGGGGGNGGGGGGGGGGGGGGGGGGGGTCTTTTTGTCGGGGCAGGAGTCGAAGCAACCTGGATCTTGTGCGGCATGGTGGGCCGACGCCAATGAGGCGGCTTCTCGAAAGGTAGGTGCCGACGGTGATTTGTTGACCAAGCTGCACGCTGCAGTTATGGGGGTTCAAGGGCCGCAGCCTCTGGGGACATTGACTGCTCGTGGGCGATTCGTTGCATGGGATTTTGATCGATCACTAAGGCGAGGGTAGCGGAGGGGCGTTGACGAAGGGAAGCCGGCCACAACATGGTCGAGGCAGGAGGCAAAACTTGGGGGCAGCGGCCAGCGATCAAGAGGCCTGGCGCGCGCACGCTGATCGACGAAGTGGCCGCAGGTGGGCGTTGACAGGCGACAAAAATGCGAGGCTGGCGAAGGCGGAAGGAGGGGCAATTGCTGTTCGTCGATGCGCGCGGAAAGCATGTCGTTCTGGGTTCGAGACCGGACTGGGGTGCAAGAGAAGAAAGCGGGGATCGGGGCAGCCGCAGTGCAGGGGATGATCATCTTGACGTGCCTGAGGGACGTATTCGAGAGAAGGCACTTGGCGCGGAATGAGCATTCTCGATCGCAACGACATCGTCAGTTCTCAAGACTTCTTGCTTCTGCGGTTATGTGGTCGCGCAAGTGGTAAGTGCAACGTCAACTACCTATTGACCAGTGAGGTGAGATTCCAGGCTCGCACTTTCCGCTAGTGCACTACCCTCTGACTGGCCTGCCCTTACGATACCAGCGGTATCCTAAGGCTAGCCAGTCACATCACTGGTATCAGTGAACCAGACCACTAGAAGGTGCGGTCCGTTGCAGCGACACAAATGAACGGCGCGGAGCGTACCTGCTTCAGTGCAGTCACAGTACTGCGGTGGAAGCGTCAGGAATTGAACGGAAGGACCACCGTGGAATCTCCCATCCAGGCCGAATGAGTCTGGAAACTCGGGCGTCCGCACTCCATCGAAATTCTGCCTTCAGCTGGCTTGTCGGCTTGCATCGTTGTTGGCCTGCAATAAACATCTCCCAAGCCACCCACCTCGGAGCATGTCACCGGCCTTTGCTTGTTGGGTCCCGGCGGTTGTCTGGCAGAGCGTCACGTGGTCTGGGCAGAAGTGGAGCTTCTCTGGCCAATGAGAGAGGTTGTCTGACAGACATCCTTGAAGATGGTGGGGGGAAATGTCATCGTGCGTCGCTGATTGGCTAATCGGGCGCAGGCACAAAACTGTCCTGGCTGATGTCTCTGGTGCGGAGCCTAATTGATGCATGCACACGCGATTCTCAGCTGGAAATCAATTCTCAAAGTGTCTTCTAGCTGTGATTCCTTAAGAGACAATCTTCCATCACTTCACCTCATGTCCTCGTAATTTCTGCAAGGTGCTTGTGTGCGCCTGAAAGTGCATCGGGCGAGGTACCCGGCCGTCCTTGAGTACGTACTCTCGAAATGGCCCAAGCTTCTCGTGATGAAATTTCCAACCCTTTCAAGCGGCCAATCAACGCTGCCCGGCGAGGCAAAATGTACCACAAATGTGGTACGCTTACATCAGCCACACATGTCTCACGACTCTTTCTTCCCTTCTAAGTTTTCTTCTTCGCAGCAGGACAAACCCCACACGTCAACTGAGTGGCTAATCACACCAGTCGATAGGGTTCGCAGCCAGTGTGCGGCTTTGCCCAGCTGCCAACAGCACTTTTGAGGCGGACACTTCTTCAAACAGTTTTGCAAAGGCTGCTCAGTCATAAAGTTGTATAGCAGCTGGCATGCAAACATTGCGCATGTAACAAATTTGCACGGCAGCTATCTTAAGTTTGCATTAGCCCGCCCGCAGAGGTTGCGCTCCGTTACCGAAGGTGCTTGGTTACGCCGCGAAATCACCTCTGCGGACAATCGGGCTGTGCAACGGCTGCTGACTGTCGCAAAGCTGTCCGCCACCTGGCAGCGCAAATGTCGCGCACGAAGCACGCGCCACATCAGCAACGCCCCCCATCGCCTCAGGGGCGTGGGCGGAGGCGGCGCTCGTGAGCAGGCCCGCTGACATGCACGCAGCATCCTTCTGAGGTTGGAGATCAAGGTCAAGCACTGCAGACTCAAGCGGAAGGATACAGGCGCCAGAGAAACGACTGGACGCAAAGTCGCACAACCAGATAATTAGGCTAACAGATAGATCAGTCGCAGATGAATTTGCGGGATGCATATGAACAGCAGAAATGTGATGCCGTCGAGTCTTCCGGCACGCCCATGGCCACCAACCCCAGCGGGGCTGTGATCGGGTTTGCGAGAGCAGCTACAAGAGAAAAAAAAAGAGAGAAAAAAATCGATTGCCTTTTTTAGACACAGCAGAGTCGACGAGTGGATGGAAATGTTAGAAAGATGGCCGACCAAGTATTTGCTGTCACAAAGCTTGAAGACATCGGACGGTCGGGACACATGTGTGGCTGACGTAAGCGTACCACATATGTGGTACATTTTCGTCGCGGGGCAGCGTTGATTGGCCGCTGGAAATGTGGGGTTTTGATTCGGAAAAGCCACGGCACCTCCACCTCCCCACCCCACCCAGTCCACCCCCACCTGCGGATGCCGTCTGGTGCTACCTTAGCGTCCAGACCTCACGAATGATTCAATGGGTACAGCAGCTGCCAAAGCCAACCACCTGGATCAACATCTCAAGCGGCGCGGGAACGATTGCCAGTCGGTTCGGTGATTTGCATCTCGCCTTTTTTGCTTGGGCTCTCGACGGGTGCATCTGAGCGACCGAGGGCCAGATCATGCCCCCAGCCTTCGGACGTCGTGGTCCACTTGATGCTACAGGGAGGACTCTGCAAGACAATCTCCTGTCGCTGAGAGGCTCTCTGTCACAGAAACACAGAGCAATTGGTATTCAGCCAGGAGCGGAGTCGTAAGACTGCATTGATGTGAACTCGGACTGCCCGCCTTGGGAATCAAAGTCACGTCCCAGTGCGGTCATGTTATCGTCAGTCACCAACTCCATCCTCGACCCGCACCGACCTCTGGGCGTGGAAAATCAGTGCGCGAATCTGTCGAGTCGCTCCAAATCGAAAAGTTCGTCTAAACCTTTTTAATCGAAGTCACCCTACGAGACATCGATATGCTTATCAAGACAGTGTCTCGTTCGGCGTTAATGGGCCGCACCGGACCTGATGCGTCTCCAGACATCATGGGTGCCATGACACGCTTACACCTCTTGAGTTTGTATAGCAAGTGCCAGCCCTTTGACAATACGTCAAACGAATACGCTTTCGAAGGAGTCATCTAGTGTAATTTCCAGTAACATCCAAGCTGGCTGATTTCCACTTGTCACAGCCGATGCGATGCGTTTTGCGTCTTGAAGCCTCTGAATCTGGCTCCGAACAGCGGCGTTTGGTATTTTCTGGAAACCAGCCGTCAGCCAGGACACTTATTTTCCCTGTATTGTCCTTCCGGCTGCAGCTGCTCAACAGGCGCTCATTCTCAGTGTCTGATTTGCTGAGGGCGGGCTAGGCTTTGGCGATACGACCTACGTCGATGCTCACGGCACCGGTATTCCGACCAGCGACCCGGTCGAGGCGGTCGAGGCGGTCGCACTAAAAGCCATTCGGCAAGACGATTTAATCCTATAACCCGGCGTGCATGGGCTCTGTTAATCTCAATAGGGCATCTTGAGAGAGGCACTGGTTTTGGCCCTGTCGTCAAGCCGGTCCTCATACTGGAGCAAACCCAACCCGCGCATCCCCACAGACGATCGAAACTTCAGCGTTTTTGCTGAGCTTATACTATGACCAGTTGTCTGGCTTGGTCGCATTCATATTACTTAGTTCGGTTGCAGAGTGACAAATGCTCAGTGCATCCTTGACACCACATACCACCACATGGAGATCAACGAGATGACCGATAACCACAGCAGCGAAAGTCATGAACAGATAGCCCTCAGCTCTTTCGGGGGAGTCTCGATTTGCTCTTGTCGAGAATGTGGATTGGAAGATGATGGTCTTCCGAATACGGTTCGGTAACTTCATCGGATGACCCTTGACTGGAGCTGGCATGAACAGACCGGCATTGGCCGCCCTTTGATCACATGTGCTTCGTCACTCGTATTCAAATTAGACAATAAGAAGGGAGATCAGACGCCAGAGACTTGCTTTTGGAGAAGATGGTGTACCTCTTCGCGCTCAACGAAGCCGATTGCCGTGGAAGAGCTTCACCATCGCCTCTTCTTGCCAGAGGCCATTCCTCCCCTCGAGCAGTCCCCCCGTAGACCCAGTCCGTAAGAAAACTCGTCTGAACATCTTTTTCGCGGTTTAAGGTGCTGGGTGATTTGCTATGGTGTGTCGGTTTTGTTCCCGCGCTGATACTTACATGTGAGCGATAGGCGCATCATAGTTATTGACCGGCAAGTTGGACTTCTCTGCCTCTGGATGAAATAATACTGACTATCATCTACCTGTAGCTGAGCTGTCCTAGAACGAAGAGACCACCGAAATCGGACTTGCTTGCCCTGCACTTGGCTGTGGTCGACCTGATGCGCCACTTGAACATAATTCCTGATGCCATTCGCAGCCATTCGAGCTGAGACATCGCCGCGGCATATGACAATGGTGCTCTCACTCAACAGGATGTCGTGATCATTGTAATCCACTATAAGAGACTGGCATATATCGTCAAGTTAAACGCCGCGATATTGGCTACAATTCTGGGACCCAAAGACGCCGAATCATACATGAACCGCCACGTTCCGGGCAAGGCGGTGGTCGGGCGCGTGAACAAGACGTCCAGCACCACACTCTCCGGAGACGCGGATGCCATTGACAAGCTGTTCTTGCTGGTCAAGGGAGACGAACACGTCGCGCTGAATATCAACTATGATGTCGCCTGCCACACTCTACGCATGCAAGCCGTTCTCGACAAATTTCGCCAATACCCAATTCACATCACGCCGCTTTTCGAGAACCCACATGATGCGAAGTTTTCTTTCACCTCTGCACTCGGGCATTTTCAACAGCAGCGAGCTTGGACCGGAATTTGGTCTCCAACATGGCCAGCCAGATCAACCTCACTGGCGGTAGGCAGACTATGATTAGAGCCGACGTCAATGGAAACGCCTGACTGAACAAGAAGAACAATGAAGTCGAAAACAACGTGATGATCGAAACAGACACCGCGGCACTCTGCAAGGACTCTTTCATCAGGTCTTCAGTCATAGCTCTAATATTCCAACCGACAGTGACAAAATCAAGCTACCGGTCGGTCCTTTAGAGAGGCAACAACGCATCCAAGACATCCCTGATGCTTGCTAGTAAGCTATTTCAATGAAGCCACCCCATCGGTGTTCAGGCTTTCAACAAAAGCTTGGCGAGCTTCAGCTACTTGATCAGTCTTTCCCCCTTTAGCTAGGACCATAGCTTGAATTACTGGTCTGTGTCGCACACGACCAAGACCCACTGTCCCGAAAACACATTTGTAAATGTCTCTTCGGCTCCGAGACTTTGAGGTCCATTGATCGGGAGCTTGTATCCTGCAACACCTTCAGGCGGGCTGAAATGCCATAAGTTGCATATCTCAAGGTCGAAAGATCCATTCGGTGCTTGTCTGTCGGTATGATGATCATGACCATGTGCCAGATGGCCGACGAGACCCAACAGGCGGATGGATACAAGGTACGAGCTGTTGCCATTGGCAAGACTCTCGCAGTACCCCAGGATTAGGATGACATCAAGACTACATTGACACTCTGTCCCTCGTATTTGTGTGCCCACACGATCACATCCTTCTGGCAGAAATGCCAACTATACCCCCGCAGGAAAGGTGGGAGGTCAGCTGTTCCGTTCTGATCCGCAAGTGCTACGATGTCTCCGTCAACTCAACCTTAACAAACGAGGATCAAGTCACAACAGCCAGGTAGGCAGAGCGGAGCCGTTGTATCAGCAAGGGCTACTTATTGCATGAGAATCCTCGACAGTCGTGGAAACCTCGATTTAGTGGGACTTCACGATAGACCCGTCTTCTACGGTCTGGTCAATATCAAGAACATCGTCAACCAGTCGACATGCTCGACTGAAAGCCAAAGTACGAGAAGCACGATGCCGCACGCGTTCAATCATCACCGTGTCATCCACTCTGTTCCCCTTGACATCAACATTCGGGGGACGCTCCCCTCATGCTCCGCCATCGGCGAGGATCTGCCCACTTCCATGATGCTTACAGCCATCTGACTCCTTTATTTATGCGCCGACATGCCCAATTTACTGAGAGTTTAGCTTCTTAGCTTCTGTTATGCTGAATAAGTCATCACGGGGAGTCAAGAGGATTTGATTGTGCTGGAAGAAGAGCAGTGGAGTCCTCACATTGTCGTCTTCGAAGGCGTCATAAGCACCAACCCAGTCATGACCACCACGGATAGCGCTACCGACATGCTGAAGCTCCGAAAGCTGGCTTCAGTCTTCCACTGGCATTAGACCTCCTCTATGCTCGAGTTCTGCGAAGTCAGACAGCTATACAAAAACAGGTTCGACGATCCGGGCGAAGCCAACCGTAAGGAGCTTGAGGAATTGGAGATTAGATGCCCGACTTACATCAAGCCAGTGGTCAAAAAGTACCAATCTGCGAAGAACATGACGTTCGCATGGAAACTGAAGCTGTGCTGAGAGTACATGAAGCGGTGTTGAAAGCTACGCTAGCGCGGAGAGCTCTGTAACCAGAACCCCGGCTCCGAGGCAGACAGACTTGAGATGAACGAGGAGTCGAAAGTCGAGCTGCTAGCTCGCGTCCCGCCAACCTCTATTGACGGTATCTCCTCGTTACATTTGGAGTACCTGTTGTAGATTTTGCAAGACGAGACCCGGCCCCTTCAGGATATCACGCTCGACAACTTTCTCCTGAACATGTACATTCATGGGCTTGGAACGGGGCAAAGTCTATGACCAAACGGCCTCTGACTACGAGCTCACGACGCACATGAGCCCGAACGTTGAGATATTGAAAATCAGCAGGGTACGAGTACCTTGCTTCCTGTGTCCAGGCTCTTCGCAGCTCCTACGTCACCGCTCCGCCCTTCGGGAAAGGGTCATACGACCAAACCACTACTTCTAACGTACTACAAGCCACAATACCCATCGGCAAGACGCTTGAGAACACGCAAAAGTTGCTAAAGCTGAACGAGAAGCTATCCTTGGCGAAATCGCAAATTCCTCTTGTAAGATATGCATCCATATGTTTGGCAGATCCTCCAAAAGCTGGCAGCATATTGAGAGGGAAAACATCTTCCGCTCTTGAATCGCCGGGTCCATCGATAAGGCGTCGATATCAAACAGGCGAGGAGCACAGCCGGTACTACGGTCCCGCGTTGACAGGGGACGAAGGCAGCAGGCCATGCTGAGCTCCGACTTCATTGGCATTGAAGTCGACTTCCGAAGCCTTTGAGGATGAACGCGATCGCAGTCTGTCAGTTATGGCCACCACCTCCAACCAGTTTTTGATAGCGCTCTTCCTTTGCAAGCCTTTCTCCTTCCTCAGTACGAGGGCGTTGGTGCGTCGTTGCTTGTGCTGCCCATGGTCTTGTTCGAGAGAGGCGTGGTAGCTGTTTCTGGGGAAGCTACCTCAAATCTCAACATCATCACCGCAAATAGCGGAGAAGATAGCTTGTTGCTTAGAATTCAATCGTTTGGTTCGTTAGCGGATACGAGAAGAAGTATACTCTGATTGAATTTACTGGCGACGGATGTTATGCTGCCGGGGAATCTGTTCATGCTGCCTCTAGGTTTCGGACTGGCTTCCACGGGGGAAGGCGTCACGTTTGCCTATGGCCGAGCTCTCATGGCAGCTGGCGAGAGCCCTGCATCGTCTTTGTTCTTCAATTTCGCGCGACCGTGGAAGGTCATCATTCGCATTATTCTGGGCAATGTCCGTGATGACGAATTGCTTGGAGAAAACTGGCTCAGGGCTATCAGCTTGTCGTTCGGTCGTCTCTGCGAGCCGTTGCATGCGCACATCTACATTCTGATCGGCAGATTTCTTGACAGGATGATCGAGAAAGTTTGTGCGGTCTTCCAGTGCACATTGGCTGGAGCAGATCGCGAGCGCGTCAGATGCTGTCTACGGCCGTTCTGCAGCACAAAGTCAGTCGGAATTGTCCCGTCAGCCTGCCCTGAAGTCGCATGTGAATGGATATGGTGGCATCGCAAGGGAGCTTGGTGGGCAGGACGTTGAAAGCGTTGGTTGGGATTACAGTCTGGAGACACATACACAATGGTTACGGTGTTGTGATTCCTCTTTAAGAAGACAGAGGACCTTTGCGGGTGGTATGTCAACCTCGGCAATCGGCGTGCCCGGCCGCAACGTTCCGCATTATGGAACGCCATGGCCGCGCCTTGCATCTTTGACTCGCAGGATACATGCGATGAAGTGGGTTCGTATAACCCGAAAGTTCGTGTGGCTGACGGTCCCGACCATTCATCTAACACGCAGGTGACAGAACGCAGCCCGGGCCAACGAGACCGTCGTGGTTGTAATCGATGAAGAGGCGTTCGCCGCGCTCACAAATAAAGCCATCGATGACGTCCAACATGCTGATCATGATTAGGAACAGCATTTGGGTGTGCCTGAGAGAGGCTTGTGGACCATCCGGGCTGGAATGGCGGATTTGGCCAGACCGTCTATTGGAATCTTACTCTGAGAATGGCAACGCCAAGAATTGGATAAATGACCATAATCCTTGTTCGACTCTATTCGCACGTCAGGCTCGCGGCCTTGTTGAGGTATTGATCGGAGCCACCCGGCGCAACTTCGTCCACGGAGGCGGACGCCACTGGGTCGTGGGACCGAGGCTACACGGTAGCCATCGGCGTCCATACCGAGGTCGCATCCAGGCAGACGCAATTTCATGGATAGCATATGGCTTACGGATGACAATATGAATGAAAGGGCAGTGATACGAACAGACCGGGAGGGCTTGAATGACAGGCTTGCTCAGGGGCAGACAGGAATTTTCAGTGTTCCAGCGGATTCCCTGACGCTCTCTACTCTGCTAGCCGCAAGGAAAGAATTAATACTTTGAGACTTAGATGTAGAACCAGATTGGTGAGCTCAATTATCAAGAGGCCAGATCCGTGTTATTGACAACTTAATTCGTTATTGTCTGCAATAATGATGCGTACGTCTGCTTTGGAGACTCAAACTATGGTTGACATGCGGTCGAGCGGAGGATCAGGCGCGACGCCAAAAGAAACGATAATGCATTTTCTTATGGAAAGACTTTTTGATGGCAGAGCAGTGAATAGGATACTCGGTGAATTAGGCTTGAAGTTCGCAGGATGCCATCAAAGCGAAATCGACCTTGATATTCCTCAGAATCTCATTCAAAATGAACGAATCTCCTCGCTTGTTCATGACTTTCATGTCTCAAGCCCGCAGGCGACCTATTCAAAGCTCATGTTACTTCCATCCAAGCGTGTCGCAAAAAGACTTGTGTCGAATCAGTTCCTGAGCCACACATCACGCGTAGAAAACCACCCAGACTCCCTGTCAGCTGCCTTCCCCAATAACCCAAATGGAAGGCGAGAACGAAAGCAATATGTACGACAACAATTTTTTAGGAGACCCTACGGACAAGCGCTCTTCAGACTCCGAAGCCGACGACGACGACACGCAAGAGGGAGACTGTCCCATCTGTGTCATTCTTGTCAGCCAGCGCAGTCCTTTCTCCTCTTTCTCTGCCCGATGGACGGACTCAATCATTCGTTTCGTCTTGACAAACGCACGCGAGCCAGGGAAAACACTCAGTCACAACGAAAAGAAGTCACAAGCCAAAATTTGCAACATGGTGACGGCATACTGCAGGTCAAATGGACTGACCAACGGGCACATCAAGTCCTTGGTTCTGTGCAGCGATTGCGACGAGTTGGTGCAGTTCCTTGGCACAAGGCATTATTCGAGCCCCATCAGCGGTTAAAGGCCGACGTAAATTTGGAGCTAAAGCATTCGGCGCCGGATGAGCAATCTCCAACAGCCAACGCCCATGACGTTGTTGGGTGGGCGGGCTGGGAGGGCAACAGGCCTCCAGCAGCCTGCGGGGAAGCTCTT